GACTTTCTCTAACTGCCCCAGCTGGGGATTGAAGGCTGCTCTCAATAAATATTTGAGCTCCAGACTGAGTTAGTCGATTGGCAAGCGGATATTAGTGTCTGACTCGATGCCTGTCTTCGCCGATATTCCACGCCACTGCAAAGCTGTCATGGCCTATGTGGAGGGAAAGACCCCAGACAGTGCCAAAGCAGTCCTGTTACCATTAATAAGTCCTTTGAAGGCGCTCCGCAGACGCATAGCTTAACAGGAATAGATTTAAATGAGAGTTTCGATACATCTAGATCCTGCGCTAATGAAGAAAGTGATGTGATTTAGTGTTGCAAAAGAAACCCTTTCCATCTGTCAGACCAGATCAGATCTAAATATTAAGCGCATTCAGACGCTCGACTCCATCATGAAAACTAGTAAAATATACAATTTACGAGTAGAACTTTCCAACCTAGACAGACAGAAAGATTTTCCCAAGGCTTTGGAGTTTTTCTACAGATTAGATGATGCTTTCATGGCCCTGTCTAAGAAAACTGACCTGAGGACTTTCACTCCCATTCTAAGAAAGATTCTGTTTTGTAGTGGAATTCTTATCCTGGTTTTTTTTGGTATTTATGTTTGTCTTTGGTCTAATCTTAAATTGTGAAACTATGTTAACAGATAAATTGTGAATCCGAAAGAAAAACCTTTTAAGGAAGCTGATTTATTCTCTCTTTTTTATTTTAGAAGAATTCCAGAATTCTCGGTGTACTTCTCCACCGTCTTTTCGAAGATGATGCCGTAATGTCATTGCTAAAAAATGAAGGTCAAGTATAGCTTAGCAAAGGGTTTTTTCATCCCCTCTATTAACAGATTACATCTCATCCTGCCGGGTGAGAAAATTACCTCCCTTTTGAATTTCGGATGCAGAAAATTTGTTCGTTAGAATAACAGGGACAGGGGTTGTTGGGGGGGGGGGTTCCACATGACTTGTGGAGTATTTCTCAGAAAGGCTTGTTAATGGCACGTCAGACACTCAACAGGAAGTATGTAAGAATGTAAGAGTCATCAATGAGTCATTGACTTCTGAACCTTGGGCGATCTGGAAATATGTGGTCTTGAAAACTGCCCAACTAAGCGAGAAATGCAGAATGTTGGGGCTGGCTGTAGACCATACTTTACTTTCCTACCTAAGGTTCCTGAGGAACTTTATTCAGGTTTCAGAGGAACTTTATTCAGTGTCATAATGAACAAGGGAAATGCTTTATTGAATTAATCAAAACAATTATTTGATCCAGAAACTCCACATATTTTACACGATAGTCTAAAATCAATCAGTTATGTTAACTAGTGTCTCTAAATTGCCCATAGTGTATGACTGTGAAAGTGTATTCATGTACAGTACTGTGCAAAAGTCAGAGGAAATTATGTCTACATGATCTTTCTGTTGGTGTAAAACCATGATTTCATGTCTGTCAAAGTGCTGTCAACTTAGCTATTTCTAAACCTCTTGTATTCTTTTAGACTTGCCCCCTAGCACATCATGTTTGGCTATTCAGTACCTCACAAATTGTTTGACTAATTAAATCAATTAATTAATTGAGCTGGTGGTGAGATTAAAAAAAAATACGTGGAATGGGTGAGGTGCACCTGAGGAGAAGTTTGCAGAACAATGCGGTGTTCATTGTTGTTAGTCTTAATTGTATTGCTTGTAAGTTAAATTTTAATATTGAAAGATTTCTGCAAATATACACTTAACATTCAGATAAATAGTAAATAACATTTTCTGTTATGACTTTTACACAGTACTGTATGTGTCCTGAGATGGAGCAGCACCCCATGCAGGCTGCCTGGCATAGGCTCCAAGTCCATCACATGACTTTGACCAGGGCAAGTGATTGGAAGATGGATGATGGCGGAAACTAATAATAGGTAAGGCTTCCTCTTGGGATTCTAGATATGTGAAAGTCAAGCGCTGGCCTGGGGTAATGTGGGCGCTGTTTTAATTGTAATTCCATGGTTTGAATAAGTGGAAAGGATTAATTTTGAGAATTAGTTTTTTTCATGGCCATTTTGAGTCTAAATTGGGTGTCTGTGAAAAGAGTTAAATAAGGACATGGTGTGGATTTGTGTGGTTCCTGTGAAACCTGACAGATGGGCTAACTTGCTGGTTCCCCAAAACCACAACTGAGGGTTCTGCTTTAACTATGGAGGCCCATGAGGGTCAGCATTTGTAACATGAGCGGTAAGGACATTACCATAGATCTTCATATTCACCTGCAGACTAGGCTCCACTGGGCAATACGTGTGTAGCGCAGAGGGAATGTGCTTGCTGTCCCTCATCATGCCTACCTCTGGCACAAAATGTTCAATAAAAGCAAAATCGAGTTTTGCCTGAAAAAATACATTGAGTCATTGTAACCCGCATTTTGAGAGGTGCAATAAAGTGAGTAATTGTGCTCACATCAAGATTAATTTTTTTTATTTCTTTTGTGTGTATTTCAATAATGTATGAAAATGTTTCAGTTTGTTGCACTCGGTTTGGTTATTTTGCTGTGTTAATGATCAGGCATGGAACATTTTGTGATAATGTGTGACATTTGGGTTAAAAAAAACATAAAGCACACATAATACCCTTTGTTTGTTTTAAAACTGGTGATGCTACAACTTTTCCAGCATTAAACAAGCATTTTCAAATAAGATGTTCCTACCACTTGTTGCATAGCAGATTATTATGCGCCTTAACCATTTCGCTGTTAATGTTGTGCCTGTTTATATAAAATGCAGGATTGCGTTTTCTACAGTTATAAAACCTATAGAATGTTGTTTTCAATCTCAAAATTATTTTTAACAGTTAGGTTTGTGGTGTAGTCTGCACTACAGTGGTGTAGTCTGGTGTAGTCCAATTTTTGGTCAAATTTGTTTAATTCTAGAAAAAATATCTAATGGAAGTACATAATCTTATGAAGAGGAAGACTGAAGGGCAGTAAAATCGATTACAAATTAAACGTTTTTGGTCCTATACTTGGAAATACGTTCAAATAATTTCTATTCCTTCAATATCGAAAACACCGAATATAAAAATATACACTCAATGTATGTTTTAAACCAATTAACCAATGTAAAGAATATAATTTTTCATTAAATGTGATGAATGATGATATTATTTAAATATTAAAAATGCAAACAAATGATAAACTAGCATACCTTTATTTGGCTGTTTTTTATTAAATTTGATGTCCTAATTGGAAACAGAATTATTAATACTGTAATTTATGCAACCGCAAGAACCCCAAGACGTTTTTAAAAGCCAGTGTCTCAGACTAACCATGGACTTGGGCTAAATGTGTTTTTGTCTCCCTTCACAGTCTGAGCGTGGAGCTGCAGAAGGATGGGGGGGGGGGGGGGGGAGCTATTTTCCTGCTCCTCTCATGTACAACCACCGCGACACACAAGGTGTCATCATGACCACAAATCACTCCTCAGTGCTGCCGGCCGCTCTGCTTCTCTCCCTCTCTCTCTCTCTCTCTCTCTCACACTTTCTCTGTCCTCTGACCCCGCCCCTCTCCGCTCCCCTCCCCAGTCCTGTGTGTGCTTCAGTGCTTTACTTTTAGAACACGCTACTCAATTTTGGGGTGTGGTGAGAGCAGCCCTCCCCACTACCAGCCCCCTTTAACACTCGATGGAGTTGGGAAATCGAGGCCCCGCCCCTCCAGTTCTCCCTGGGGCATTTTATGCAAATGAAGCCAGCGGCACATCGTGATTGGTCCATTATCTGGCAGTCCCTCCCTCTCTCACTCTTCCTTCCTGCCTATGTCTGACCTGTTTGTTCCTTTGCCTGTGTGTGCGCGCGCGTGTGTGTGTGTGTGTGTGTGTGTTCTCCACCTCCCCCCCCCCCGGCTCTGCCCGCCCACCACGTGGTTCAGCCAGCGTTTGCATCTCGCAGCCCTTCATACGGCGCGACCCAGTCAGATAGCGCTTAAAGCACCAACCACTGGACTCCCATGAAAGTGGGTCAGACGCCAAGTGTTGATAGCCGGGGCTGGGCTGGCGGAGAAACGGGAGATGTTTAGTCTTTTGCACTCGAGTGTTTGGGATTCTTGCTTGAAAAAGATGTAAACGCTTTTTCTGTTATTCCAGCTCGCAGCAAATAATCTCCAGCCTTCCCTAATCTGAGGCCACATAAGGAGACATTTTTAGCTCATACTATGATGTTTAGGGGGGAAAAAGAATTTTAATGATGATTTTTCCTCAAATCCAGATAGAAAACAAGTTTTTTTTTTCCAGTAAGGATGCATTGATTTAGTGGTGACTGTCTCATTCGATGATCAGATAGAGTTGCTTTTGCTTTTTGCTTTTATTAATTTGTAGATTTATCATACGGAGATCCTTACTCACATACTCTGCTAAATGTTTTTATAGCAGAAATTCAATTTAATATTCTGATTCAAGAGTTCCAAAACATGGCATCTTGTAGGATGTGCTTTGATGGCCATTTAGCTGCAAACTTTCATATGCATACAGTATAACTCCTAAGCTACCTGCAGCTCTATGATGTGGTAATTAGGACACAATTACAGTTTGACCTGATGTCTGAAGCTAATGAAAATGTAACTATTAAGGTCCTGTGTAAAACAGCCAAGAAATGACAGCCACGAATCAGTATTTGTTATTTAAATACTTAATGCATAATTTATGCTTATTTTATAATTCTTTGGAACAGAGACACATAGTATTATTGAGTCTAAGATTGGGGAGCCCCCCCCACCCCCAAGATCTGCAAAGCATACCCCTCGGTTAGCAAAATCCCATTGGTCAGGTCAGGTGGCCAGCTACCCACCCCCAATTTGGAACAAATTATTTTAGCATAGTACAATAATACAGTAACACTTCACATAAACTGCACCTTCATAATGCAACCACAATGCATTCATAGAACATTCATAAGCAGCAGGTAAGTACACATTAACATCCTAACATACCTTAGCAGCTTTAATTTACATTATTAACAGACATTATGTGATTATGTTTGCTATTATCATTTAATGTTTGTTAATGTATACTACAGCTGTAAGGATGTTAGGGTGTACTTATATGCTGCTTATGAATGTTCTACGAATGCTTTATAAAGGCATTATGAAGGTGCAGTTACCAATAATGCTTATATTAATAAGTATACAAACCTATACAGTATAATACAAGTTTAAATGAAGTTTATTTTTTTTAGATTTTTAAAGGTCTTTGTTGTTTAACGCAGAAGATTTTACATTTACATTTATTTATATTTAGTGGACACTTTTGTCCAAAATGACATGCAAAGTGAGGCAAATAGCACATTACAGACATACGGCTATCGAGCAGTCGGCTTGGCATGAAGGCAGCTAGGCTGAGCTTCCTGTGAATGCCCAGGTACCAGTGTGGGCTTTTAAGAATTTAGTTGTGAAATCCTGGTGCTTTTAAATGGACATGTGTAACATGTTTATAAAATCGGCTAAGAATCCTGGGGGAAGGAGACCTGCTTCACATCCTTAGGACCCAAGCTGGTATCTTCTGCCCAGTTGTCACCTGGATTACGAGCCATAGAATCATCTGTCTCGTGCCTGGGTACCTCAGATCCAGGGAAGCCTGCAGGAGAAACCGAAGCTCATATGAGACCAATGGAATGGCTTGTTGACTCAGTCATGAGGCACTAAATAAAACTGAGCGTTAGAGTTTACTGTTGAATGTTGAAAATGAGTTTGGTGCCATCGCCTGTCTGTGTGACTAACACACATCCATCCATCCATCCATTCATCCATCCATCCTGTCCCAGGCAGCACCGGGCACAGGGCTGGGGTCACAGGGAACATATTAGTAACTGTGTAATAAAGTGAAAAATATCAATTTCAGATGCCATGAGAAGCACTTAAAAGTAGAATGCGCTTCGCGAAGAGTGTGGCTTTAGTGAAATGAGACGTGGAGCGCAGGCAGATCCAGGGGAGCCGGATTGTGGAGCCGCGGGCTGCAGCCGCCAGGGCCTTTCCGGCAGAGCCGGCCTGGCGTGCCCCTGAAGTGCCTGGTCGCCGCGGCGATCATAAGCTCCACAGAGTTTGATGGAGCTGCCCGTCAGTGCAGTGCTGATGGAAGTCTGGGCTCTGGGCTGTGGAAGTCCATGTGGTGGGAAAACAAATAATGCAATTGGGCAAAAAGAAGACAAAAAGGTGGAGAAGGGTGGGGCAGAGGACGGGGGATGTGCATGGCCCCAGACCCCACAAGAGAGGGGCGGGGTCACCATACCAAACATAGGTGCACCATCACCCCATCCAGTCCCCCATCCTCCTACGGGCAGTGAGCTCCCACCCAAAATGATTCCTTATCAAACTATGAGGTGGTGTGGGCCACTGGCAGTCACATGGACTCCAGTGAGTGGCAGGGCTGTGCTGGAGTGAGTTTCCTGCCCTGGTGGGGGCAAATTCTAAGAAAGGATCCACGCAATCTCCAGAGCAGAAACCTTGCATGGGGCTTTTGTAGTATACAGATATTCAAACGAAAAAGAAACATTTTAATCAGATCTCATCCTCTTATTTTGTAATGTAGCTAGTATTTATTAATAGCATTAAAAATGTGTGCATGTCTCATGTTTAATAGGATTTGAACCATTTCTGTGACTCCAGTCATGGAAGCGGAAGAACAGTGACACGGCGTGGAGAAGGATGTGTCAAACGAAACCCCCCCCCCCCTGCCCTGGCGGTTACCCGGGTGACTCAGCAGATGCAGGAGCTGCACAGGGAGTGCCTGGCTACCCATGCTGCACTGCTCCAAAGCAAACTTTTGAAGAAGACTGTAAACACAGTACACACTGAAAATGGTTATTTTTGCTCCGATATCTATGCAGGCTCAGAGGGTTCTGGAAATCTCCGCTGGTGGTCATCTCCAGGCTATGGCAGACTGGCTATCCAGCGATCGCCGCATGAGCCTCACTCTGTGCTGTGGAGGAATACCTTCATGCATTTCAGACTGCCTGCTTTTCTTACCAAGGCAAAGAAAACCTGCACTTTTCCTTTTTTTAAACATGACTCAGGACAGCAGTGTGGAATGAATTAGTGCTAATTAACAGGCCATTTCGGGCCGGACAGCTTTCAGTCCTCTCCCCCCTCTCTTTTGGTCCCCAGCTGTTCCTGTTTTCGTCACAGGTAGACTGACTGTCTGTCCTTCACTCTTCCTGCATCCCTCCTTTCTTTGAGTTTTTTTTTGTTCCCTCCTATTCCAAACTTCCTCTCACTACCCCTTTGCGTCACCCGCTGCTTCTTGCAAACACGTCAGAGCCGCCACACACACACACACACACACACACACATACACGCACATGTCGGGTAAACATATCTTTATGGGGACTGCTCATCCATTTCTATGGGAAAAATGCTAACGCTAACTAAGACAACCTTAACCCCTACCCAGCCCTAACCATAACCATAAGTAACCAAGCAAAATACAAGAGTTTTTTTTAGTTTTTTCATTGCAGTCACAGATTTTTATTTAATTTATTACACTGGTCCCCATAAGGGGAAAAAAAAAAAACGGTTATTCATCATGTTGTGGGGACATTGTGTCCTCATAAGGTAAGGTATACCCGGTCACACACACACACACACACACAGACCGGCATATAACAACACACATTCACGCATACAATACACACACACACACAGATATGGACATAAACACATGGATGTATATATACCAGCAAGAACACACTCATATACAAACACACACACGGGTTCTTTTGCTTGAGACTTTTGCTATCAGTGTACTTCTCTGTCTCTCGATGTCTTTCCCTCTCTTTCTGCCCCTCCGTCTCCATGCATTTTTCTGCTTCCTCCCTCTATGCTTACTGTCTCTGTGCCTTCCCTCTTTGTCTCTCTCTCTGTCTCTCACCTTCTCTCGCTCCGTCTCTCTCCTCCCCTCTCTCTCTCCTGGTATGTTCTGCCCTCTTTCTCTCTCTCTGTTTGTTTCTCTCCTTTTTGTTGCTTTTACTCTCTCCGTCTCACTCTTCCTCTGTATGTTTTTTCTTCTTTTCCTCTGTCTTTCTCCTCCTCTTTCTCTCTTCCTTTATGTTTCTCTATCATGTCTATCCTCCTTTCTCCTTCTGTCTTTCTCCTTCTTAGCCCCCTTTGTCTTCCTGTTTCCCTCTTTTTCTCTATTGCTCCCCTTATCTCCATTTCTGTCTTGCCACTTCTTTCTCTTTCCCCTCTCTCTGTCTCTCCTCTCTGTCTCTCCCCTTTGTCTCTCTGTCTCTCTCACTCCTTTCCCCTCTCTGTCCCTCCACTCTCCTCCATCTCTCTTCTCTCTTTCCCTCCCCTCTTTTTCTCTCCTGTCTTCTCTCTCCTTCTTTCCCTGTCTCTCCCCTTATCTCTCGCCCTCTCTTCGAGCCCCTGCTGCTTTGCTGTTTTCTCATTCTCCCAGCCCGTGAGCCCCCCCCCAGCCACACCGTGGGGTCGTGAACCCAGGAAGCTCTATCCCCGCCAGCCACCATGCAGCTGCTGCTCCACCCCCCTACCGTACCTTGCCCTGGAAATTCTGGCCAATCGGCATGCCCAGGCCACAGAAAGGGGCAGGGTCAATGCGGGAACTCTCCCATAGACTCTCGCTCACGGCATGTGAGAGGGACATAGGGTGATGACAGAAGCGTGATGTAACACACACACACACACACTTACACACATGCTGTTATTGCACACTGCTGCAATTAGTGACTTATAACCAAGTCGGATTTACATGCACACACATTATCATTCACACTTATCTGGACCCCCTTAACTATCACTCACACAAGAGCACACATACAGACACATGCCTCAGCTGTCTGCTTGAAGGCTGGAACCTTCCATATATAAATCAAATATAATTTTATCAAAAGGGAACAAAGTCAAAAGACCGGGACCAACTTCCTTGCCAGGAGAAAAGAATCAGGCACCAGAGTTACAGATGAAGTGGTGAATGATGTAGACATTATTGGTTACTGACATATGCGGAAAGAGATCTCACTCCATGACGTCAGCACACTGACAAACATAACTCACTACCCATCCTCCCCAACCGCCCGCGTCTTACACTGAACTTGGGGTTACAAGCATTTGTCTGGGAAAAATAAAAGTTCAGACGGCTTCTGGAATGCTTACTTACACCACGTCTCAATGCTCTAGCACGCAGCATGGAAGCACATTTCGGCCATCCAGCCACCCGCGGGCAAATTCCGGATCCTGGGGACAAATGCATCCAAGGGGACATTATGGTGACTCTGGGACCAAAAAAAATAAAAAACAAACCGTTTAAGGTCCAGATCTGGGTCTATCATCACCTCCTGTCTGAACTCTTTTTTTTTTGAGGTAGATAAACTAGATGCTTTTTCTGAGCTGAGGAAGGACTTGGCTGGGTCTAGTGACAGTTATACAGTATGTTTTGGAATTTTGGTATATGTTACGGAGATGTATAACAGTGTAGGCCTGTTTGTGTGGGGGGGGGGGCAGATGGTGCTTTCAGCCTATAGACAACAACTCGATTTCCAAACCATAACCTTTCCTGCATTTTCTTAATTGTTTATTGGATTACACCTGCTTTGTGTATAGTCATGAAACTCTTTTCTTTCTTTGCAGTTTAGTGGAGATGAGGGACAGTTTTTAACCTTGAATCCTTCCTTCGGTTTCTGCATAATTTCCTGCGTCGTGCTTACATGTGCACATGTGCATATTGTAAACATATGTCCATGTATACATGCCTGTGCATGTGTGTATCCATGGATTCCTGTTTAGCTGGACAGGAACATGGGGGGGGAGGTCAGATTTCAGACTCTGTTAACAGTCTGTAGTAAAGAGATATTTAATTCATTTAAATGTTATTCATACAGATGCTGAAATGAACGGTTCCATGTGAAGCTATTTAAACATCTTTTCCTTTTTAAATCATTAACATCAGTCAGCAGTGTTTATTATTCCTAAAAACAAATAAACAAATCCAGCTTTATATAGTCAGCATGTGCTGACGAATTTGCAGTTTCTTCTGTAAGACCTCCGTCTCCCTAAATCTCCCTTAAGATGTGATTTCCGGAATTTTCCAGAATGTTCCTGCTATGAACCAAACACAGTAAATTAGTCTTGGGCCCCTCACCACCACATATTCCTTACTGTCGGTTGTCTGGAGCAGCAAGGAGCGCAGTGGATTCAGGCTCTGCTGTTAGACCCTTCAATCAAAGATCAAAATTCGGTGCCTTTTTGGTTTACCGTTAGTTAATGTTAATAGTGAATAGGTCCATAAAGCAGCTTAAAGAAGTAGAACTGAATAAAACCTCCTGGCCTGGACCATAATAATTTGACAACTGAAGCTTAAAACCAGTTGCTTTGTGTTTTGTTTGCTGTGTCACAGTCCTGCCTCCCTCCATCACCTTCACCACACGACGTGGTCTATCATCTGGCAACCATGCTGGATATGCTTACCGTGGTCTAGATCCCTATTTATGGCTGAAGATGCCATATCCGACATCGGATGATGCAACGTGTTTCAGAAGCTTGTAATTCGGTATCTGCGGTTATGTTGAGAGAAGTCACCGGAACTCTCGCTGGCGAGCGGCAGGCTAGTCTGTTTTCATCCGCCCGCGTCATGAGAGACTGATCTTTCTGGTTTATTTGAGCACCAAATAGATCTCTTTACTGCAGCAGTCCGTTCTGCCGAGGGGAAACCAAAGGGATTTCGTGGGTCCTGTTTTGATGGCTTGCTTAAAATTCTACCCCCCCCCCCCCAAAAAAAAACATGCATCAATATATCAGCTGGATTGCACTGAAGACTATTCCCAAAACCAGAAGCGACTTTTTTGCTGCTGGGAGTCTATACCTGTGATTCATGGTTAAGGTAGGGAAGGCATCCCCTTGGCTATTGAGTAACACCTCTGACTTTTCAAACGTTTACTTCATCTCATTTTGTCCTCACACATACAGGCTCCATGTGTCGTCGATGGACGGCCCCCAGCCCGCACCGATCTGCCCCTTTGAGCCGGAGACGACGTGCACACAGAAGGCCGGCCGTCACAGAGATGCCGGCGACCAAGCGCACAGGATGCAGTGAGACATGAGCAGGAACAGCACACTGGCTTTGTGTTTCTCTGTTTGCTTCCCTTTTTTCACAGTCTGGATGTGCCGGGGGCTATTACGTAAGCCAGCGTCGGCCGGCGACGGTTCCAGCAGCAGATGGCGTGGTGGCAGTGGAGGGGGGGGGGGGGGGGGTGGGCGGCTGGAGATAGGGGGAGTGGACACCGGGCGAGAGCCGGTTTGGTCAGGGTTGTGTCTGTAACATGACAAATTTGTACAGAGTGATGTATGTTAGCCACTCATGTTACCTTATACACAGACAAATGATGGTTCTTTGCGTAGGAACACACTTTGTTTTCACTGGTCAAATATGATCTTAGGGCCATGTATGGTAACGCCCTCACGTTGCACCTGAACCCCCAACCCCTATCTCCACCCCACCCTTATGCAAAAACACTCATAAGGAATCATGAGGGTCCATTGACCTGGTTTAGAGCTGCTAAGAGTCTGGCACAGAACCTTATTCTGGGTATTATTATGTAACGGTCTCTGGCGTTTGGGGGGTTAGTGACGTGAGGGGGCAAGTCCTGCGCGGTCATGGTGACAACCGGCCATGACGTCACAACGCCCTGAATGACCAGGCGCGTTCGGTGCTAATGAGCCGCAGTGGCGGTGCGGTGTGCGGTGACCCCGACGCGCTTTATGCGCGCACAGCCGAGAAAGAGGAAGCCCTCCGTGCCTTTAATTCACTTTTCACAGCTTTGCAGTCGGCATGTAGCCTACGTGTGATTACAAAATACGGCTTAAGACTGGCAAATTTACTTAATAATTTCCTGATTTTTAGCTTGTTTTTGTTTGTTTGTTTTCGCGTGTTGCACGCAGGGATCTGATTAATTAGATGTAAACGTGATGAAGAATAATTACAGTGAAGATTAATTTCCGCTCCCTGTAGCTTAAACGAACGAATAACCGATACTTATACGCGCTAACGGGAGATTGAGTTCATGTAAGGTATTTTAATCTGATGGAAGGAATCATAAAACTTGAAATTAGGTGAACATTTATAAATAGGAATTTTGATTTAATATAATCTTCATTATAAAATATGTTAGCTGTAGAGGAAAAGCATAACTGTCTCAATTTATGGATAAATCGATCATCGAGGTTGATTTTTACAAAACAGTAAGAAATGGAGAATAGACTATATACTTCTTACGTTGAAAAGCAATCCAAGTATTGTACAACTTCTCGGATAAAATGCTATTTTTAACTTGTTACTCAGTGTGGAGACTAAATGCATTTGTGATTTCTCTGAATGACTCACTCTCCTCTCCCGTTAAATAGCTCTAGGGTATCAAAACCATGAGCACGAACAGGTGAATTATCGCTAACGATTTCATTAACCTCTCGGAAATTTTATTGCCCTACCCTTAACAACCAAGAATTTCATTCATGCTGTTTTTTCGCCACAAAATGCAAAGTGCCTGAGTGTGCTTCGGTTTCCAAAGCGCAAGTGTCAGTGACAAGCAGGGTCCCTACTGTAGCCTATATAACAACAATAACCACAAACAAAGCGAGTAATAAGCAAAGCTTAAGCGAGCCCCCCCTCGGGTGAAACAGGCGGGATTTTGCGTAGAACGATGGCAGACAAAGTTAAACCAGTACCTGCCCATCCTCCTTATACACCCTGGGGGTATTTCAGAGATAACCGAGTCTGCCGCTGTGTGCGCCACATGCAAACATTAAATGCGCTGCTGTGTACATTTTAACCAGCTAAGAAAACAACTTGGGCGAAGCGCACTACGATTTTCAGCAAAGACTATTTTCAAAATAGGGTATTTTGGGGTTTGACACTGAAACTTTCCTGCAAAAAAATACAAGTAAATTCTATTTTAAACTAACTTAATTATACCTTTATTCTCGGCACAGCTGATACGCCATACCCGTGGCACCATCCACGCTTGTGTTTGCCTTGATCGGTATCGGCCATCGAGAAAATGGGTTTTCTGCATTACGATCGAGCTGATAAATAATTAAACAAACGTGTCTAAGCGGGGGGGTTCGTGCACTCTTAGTCTTTCATTTGGTCCGGGTACTTTTTTCAAAATGATATTCACATATTCACACCAAGCATCGTGTCGGTACTTCTTCAATTTCAAATGCGCGCCATGAATCTTACCTGATAACTTAAACTGCTCATGGAAATTCTCGTCATTGCACGGACTGACCTAAACCTAAAACGCATCGACCTTGATTTCTTATGTCATTCTTAAGGCAGCCTCCTAAGTACCTTCTTCAGGAGTGGGGGTACCCTCTCCATCATTTGGGGAACTGGAGTTAGGATGGCTGAATCACCCTTTGATGCTGGAGACCAGTGTGCCGTTGGGACCCAGTAAACAATTTTTACTGCTCACTAGAGCATGCTTGCCACAATCAGATCTTACCCTGCTGCCACTGATCAGGGCTGGTTAACGAGTGTTAATGAGATCTGCCCCTCCCCCCCAGGAAAGGCACAATGGATGCTTCCTCACACAAACATATATTTTGTTGTTAAGAGAACTTAGGTCCAGAGATACAGAAAGGCATTACAAAATGATATAGACCCAATATAACTGGAAGGTCTAGCCACTGCAAAGCCCTAGGGTAACTGTATGCTTTGGATTGCCTCTACACATCTCAGGAGAGTCCCTATTGTTGTACCCTTGAACGACATGCATACCTCAAATTAGGAAAGTCAAATATCCAGTATTGTTTTGGACAAAGGAATCATTTTCTAATAGACAGCTCAAACCTCTTTAACAAGCACGAAATCTGGCCGCTGCTGTGCTCTTGACTGCATTGTTCACTCTCGGATACACAGTGACCTCCCGGGTCTTAGGACTACGGAGACTCCATCTCTCGTGAGCCTCCTCCTTGCTCATGGCTAAGCAAACCGTGGTGGTGGAGCAATGAGCCCATCCTCAAACGGTGGGTGTGGTCATATACCACGCCAAGGAGACCCTCAGAGGGATGATCATGTGTTCTGCTGAGGGTTATATACAGTATGTGGGCGTTGCCACAGAGGCACTGCACCAAGATGAAAGCTGATTGGTCCCTCCTCTGTCACTCACCGATCCAAAACACATCATTAGCAAATGATAACGTTGACCCCTCTGTACGAATTATAGCCCCCAGTCATAAAAATCTACTAGAATCGTCCCAAGTTCTGTTGTTAATGCTTTTACTTGGGGACATCCCAGATGTACAGTTTGAACATCACAACGGTAAGGCAATAACATTCATGGCTGGTCTCTCAGACTCCCTGCCCAGCCCCCCATCCGAACAGACACAAGCTGAAGTATCATGTCCGCTGCACAGTCTGATGAGTCTTCTGACATGAATTCCAGTCAAGAGGAGATTTTCTTCAAAATCTAAACATAATGTATAGAGCACAAGTCCGTCAATCACCATCATCATGTCTTGAGGCAGTGATGTACTATGCTATATTGCATGTCCATCATAATATTCCAAACCTCTCTGATCAGATATTCAGTCAGGGTGTTCTGCAGAAGGTCTGATTATGTCCAGCAGCGTATAATGCCCCCGCCTGGCAGTACCCATTATACTATACGGTACCCTGTACACTGCACAAAATTCTACCTCACACTGTCGTTCATAATCGGTTTTACTAAAAAGAGGATCAGAATATTAATGTTTTAACTTTCACCAACCAATCAGGTAGTGCTCCTCTTTTGAATATTAATAAGCTTTCCCTAACCACCCTGTAAAACGAAAATTCACATTTGGGGAGATCCAGATATATGGTAACCTACAGTTAACTCTTATTTTACAATCTACACACAATTGAGATAATATACGTGTATACAAGTCTTAATACATGTATACAAGTACAAAAGTTACAAAATGCTAAGGTAACGTTTGTTAACCTTCAAGCAAACGGCATGATTCACTGTTCACACGAAAACAGTAATAAAATGTCAAAGTGCCAATGGTTTCTGGAAGTTGACGTCACTCGTGAGCAGCGGAACACGTAGGGATGTGCATATCGTTTGATTTCTACAGTAAACATGTGCTCAAGCCTTGCAAATGCAGTGTGATGATGCTGAGTAGCTGCAGTACGTTGAAAATTGGTGCCTTTTCCTTCACTTAGTACTTCACTGTAACTGGCAACACTGGGTCGTACAAGTTGCAGTGCTAAACCCGGAAAACCAGCGATTTTTGAAAAACTGCACGAACACCTGGACAGAGGCCCAAAAATGTCCGGGGAAACTTGGACGTACGGTAACCCTAAGGTATGGTAACCCTTAGCCGCAAAGGTAAGGTTGCTTATGTGAAGTTTGCTCAGTCCATTTTATGTGCTCTCTGGTGTTCTGGTGCTGTTTTATTCTGTTATTTATTTTAGTTTCCTTTAGACATGAGCAGATTGGTCTCAAGGAGATATGGATACACGTACAGTGCTTTGTATTCTGTGTACACTGTCTCAGGCAGCCAAAGAAAGTCTTTAATGCTGTTTATCTGGGTAGTAAGTATATGTCTGCTCAAGAAAAAAAGCTTAACAATAGAATATATGCAAGTTAACAAGTTATTATTACCACAATAATAAAACAAACAAGAATTTCTTCTGTTCTCCAAAAACTTACTGATATCTTGTTGGATGGCTAGATGAACACTGTTTCGGTTCCCAAAGCTCTCCCCAGGGGCACCGCAGCCATTCCATGCCATTTGTTAAATTTCACCACCAGCTGGATTAATTAATTAGCTTAATTAGTCAAATAACTCAATTACGTATTAACTAGCCAAACAAGATGTGTTAGTGGTCGAGTCAAAAAAATACATGGGTATATTTGTTGGGGAGGTTTTGAAATAAATGGCTAAGCTGACACACTGTGACAGACATAATAGCACCAACACCAACGTGAAGATCATTTAAACATCATTTTCTTGTACTGCCTCAGACTTTTGCACAGCACTGCATGTCCTTAAGTAATGTCCCTGTACTGAATCCCTTGGGTAACATATCAGTGTGTCTGAGTTCTGTATGTGAGCCATTTCTTATAAAATCCTTAGCTGGAGAACCTAAACTGTAATATTAGCAATTAACACACAGCTAATCTTTTTAGTTCCCTGATCTGTGAGTCTCAGACGGTGGTACTGGGCGGAACAGGAGATGAGACTGATTCAAACAACGTGTTGTCTCACAACAAAAAAAAAAGGTTAGAGCTGATTTTTGACTCCCCAAAATTCACTCTTGAATGCATCAAGGCACCTAAAATGACACAGAACATTTTTATGAAATCTTATCCATAACCCCTCCCCCCCCAATCTACGACTTTTATGCGGTTGTGTTGAGTTGTGTTATGCGTGGAGTCCTACGTGAGATACGTCTGCAAATTCGCAAGTCAGAACGTGTTGCAGAACTGGCCTGTCCGCCAGCTTTATTTATCTGCAAGCACAGATGTGTTTGTGTGTTTTAGAAAGGTCCAGAAGAATGTGTGGCGTTTTCAGTGAAAGCGGGCAGGTTCGACTCATGCTGTTGCTGGAACATTGGGGGACGCGCTCAGTGTAATGTTCAGATGCACTGAGACACACAGGCGTGCATCTGCGCTCCTGTACGCGTGCACGCACACACATTCNCTGCGCTCCTGTACGCGTGCACGCACACACCTGAATGTTGCCCACTCCGCAGGGTCCCCCCCCCCCCCCACTCTCTCCTCTCTGAGTCATTCCATCTCCCTGAGTAAATGTCAGCCTTATCTTGGAACTCCAAAGGCGGAATTTCATTTCGGGGTTCAGTCTGGTCCCGTGCATTGGGAATGCCGGGGAACTTCACGGTCCATCCGGGAGCACGAATCAGTTACACTCTTTTTTTTTTACTTATTATTTAATAAAATTCACAATTTATCATAAGCAAATATCACATGACTTGTGTTTTCACCGTCATAAAGCATACATGCATTTACTTCACTTTAAGGTGTCGACTTTTACCCACAACTCATAAAATAAACTTGTCATTCAGATTAACTTTCTTGCTTTAAAAATGATTTTCCTGTTTTACAGTGGCAAGCTCACGGCCTTATTTTAACATTGACGTGTTTGACTCCTTGCAATGTGAAATTACCTCTGCAGGGAGCCAGAGTTAAAGTATAACCTAACTTTCTTTCGTAAATACCAGTGACGTCCAGTGCTTCCATTAGCCGTCTCTGTTTCTGCCATTCCTTCAGACACGGAAAATTCTAGGAGTCAGCAAAAAACAAAAGAGTCTTTTCTATCCAGACAGTAACAGCAAATTAGCCTACATTAACATGCAGGTTGACAGAAGCTTAGAGTGGTTAATGTACTAGTCCTGTATGCAGATGTTTACCAGTTTACGTCTCTGAATGGGTCCTGCTCAATAGAGTACTTAATCTAGATTTCTCTAGTAAATTATCCAGTTATGTATTTTGGTGTCAAGTAGGACCCTCAGGGTTGAAAAAAGTTATATAAAGTCATAGAGAAAACAAACATTTTTTTACATCTTTTAAAATGCTGCATATTACATTGTTTTTATTCAGTGGCTGCCCTGTAATTTGCAATTATCTGTGTCATTTTACAGCACATTGCAATATATTCAGGCTACATATAAATACAGCACTGGCTAATCCCTTCTCCCACAATGGAATATATCTTCTTCCCCCAGCTGATGTGTTTACCCATAGCTTCTAATTACCTGGGAATCCAGCGTTGACACATCAAAGGTCACTGTGGCCTGACCTCGGCCTGTCCTGGCTTCCACGGTGGGGGGGGAGTGGGGGCACTATTCTGGTCCAGTCGTAAGTCCCACTCGGGCTCAGCAGCACTGCCATCATGCAGTTTGAAGCCAGTTAAACGGAACACCGGATCGACCAATTAGAGTACAGTTTTAAGGCAGTGCTCAAAGTGGAATTTGTCCAGGCAGACTGTGCTTCTCACACGCCGCTGTCATGCCTCCTTTATATGACAGCCTCCTTGCACAGCCTCGCGCATCAGTGTGTCACAGATCACAGATTCTGCCTTTAGAAATGGGAATATCCCGGCCGCGGTCTCCTGAAAACAATGTAAATGCTGCAGTTAAATTCCCCCCAAGTCCGGTCGGCCCAGCGTAACGATTTCCCAGCATGCTCCTGGACGAGCTGCACTGCTTTTCAAAATCCCAACGGGGAGGGGGGGGGGGACAAAAGTCCGTAGCCCTCACTATTCAGACTTGCTGCTCCTGACACCCTGTGGGGAGTGGGGAATATCCCCCCCCCCCCAGTGCATACTTAATGGAGAGTCATGAATCAGCCACTGGAGGCACTAAAGCCACAAACAGGAAATCTAACTCAAGGCTGCTTCACCACCCCCCCCCCCCCTCCCCGTTGGGATTTTGAAAAGCAGTGCAGCTCGTCCAGGAGCATGCTGG